TTTTGACCTTTGCTTATTTTGGCAAAAGTACATTTTGTTTATATTACAACTTCTACCTTAACCAGCCAAATGCAAGGTCACTCTTTGCCATTACAGTATATATTTGGAGTTTTTGTCCAATTAAAACTAGTTTAGTCTAATCCTAAAGGGGAGGGTACCCAGGGGGCAGGGAGTGTGTGGAGACTTGCAGTTGCCACATGCCTACTGATGTCTATAGTACTACAGTACTATACACTGCCTCACGCCCTACTTTCTCCATCATAATTAATTGCAAATTTAAATATACTTATCTTAAAGGAAAGGTGGTACACGATCTTTTTTATTAATATTATTTGATAAATTGTTCTTTTCCATACAAGATGCCATGACGTAATGATATACGTGAACAGTGTTTAACATAATTAGTAGAATATCTCTGTACCTGTATATTGTCATTTCCAAATTAATAAAATAGTTAATTAAATATCGCTATGCGTGTACACATTGTTTTCATGAAATAACGACTAATGTGTATACAGGTATCATGAAATTATACTTATGTTCACTCATCAACCACGCTGACGCCTACTACATTTCTGAGGCAGGACGAGTTAAGCCCATCACCCACAAGGTACGCCTCTGATTCCTCCATCATCATACTCCACTGTGGGGTACGGGTTATTTGATTCACACTCAGGATGGGATGGAGAAAGGAAACTCACAATGTGCTCTCTGTATACATATTGTATTGGATGCACAGTGCAGCTTGGTACTGGGAAGGCAGCATGGTTACAAGCGTGATGTAGAGAGAGCTGGTTGGTGAGGACGCTCAGAGAAGGACAGCTTGTGGGTCGCCATGCTCGCCGGCGGGAGCGAGGGCCGCCAGGCAGGAGGAGGAGGTGTTGCTTGCTGCGGCTGTAGCTAGAAGAAGGGGGTAGGTCACCACGAGGTCAGGTCTTATATAGCGGAGGTAGGCGTGGCTTAATAGTTGACCTCCGTCATGTAAGGCGGCGCTGGTTGACCTAGACCACGAGGCATACACTGGGGAATTCGCGGGGTCGGCTACTCAGCGACAAGCGTTTGCAGGGGAGGAATCCACTACACCACCACCCAGGACTGTACTTGTATATGTGAAAATCTTCGTATGCGTATTATTCGCTATCTTAGTAATTGTTTCCTTTAATAGTTTTCGGAATGACCACACTTACCTTCGGAAATGATTACCTTCTGGTCACCAGATTCTAATAACTCTGGCCAGTTCTCTGGTAGCAAGAAAAAGCACTTATCCCAACGGCTTTCCAATGTGATGGGTATCACCTGGTACTTGGAGTTTTACCCTTTCAGGTATATGTACACCTTTGGTGTTATTTCCTTTGTGAGAAGTGCTGCAGCTTATTGGGAAAGTTGTCTAGTGTGTTTATTTATGATAATAATAATAATAATAATAATAATAATAATAATAATAAAAGGTTTATTGAAAGAACATGGCACCCAAAAATCTGAAAATATACAAAAACAAGCATGACAAAAGTTACTTAATGTGATATTGGGAAGTAGGTAATTTGATGAGCTAAAGCTTTCAGTACAAAAATGAGAAGAAAAATGAAGTGAACATACAAGCTAATTATGAATCTAGTAGTATTACCAGTGGTTTGTCAGTTGCCAGCTGTGTATATTGTTACGACCTTCCTTTCACCGCTTACCCAGCTTCCACCGCTGGTTACCAGCGACCAGGTCGTCTGTACAGAAGCAATAGATATCTCACAAGTGTCGTCGAATTACCACTGGCTGTCCCGCCAGTCTACGGTAATTTCCCGACGATTGGTATCAGTGCAAAGACAAACAAAATTTCCACCAGGTCACAGAAACACATTTGTGCACTGTAGTCGACTTTAATTATCACCAATTCTTCACAACACTGTCCACAGGGTAATGGCATCACAGCTGGACTTCTCACTTCGAATATATAGTCGGCACACTACCAGTATACAATTCTTTAGTCTTCACTTTATATTGAACACAGCATTTCCACAATACTTGCACAAAAAATATCTACAGTTGCCTTACTAGGTTTGTTGTACTTTACACTCTGAGCAGAAACGGTTGACTGACTCAGTCAGTCAGTCAGAACACCGAGATAAGAGAGCCGTGGCTCTGAGGTGAACAAGGAGATTTAGGGCAAGGTATAGTTAAGTGGGAAGTACAGAAGGATAATGATAGCAGGTGGGCTTTCCACCTTGCAGAGGCTGGTTTGTGGTTTAACCAGTGACAGACGTCCCTCGGTCCTCCAGGGGCAAGGAAGGTGAGATAAGCTAAGCTGAGCTGGTTTAAAGTGCGATCCAAGGGAATGTGCTGTTTTAGGGTTTGTTGGAGGGTCCCTTCAGGTCTTGTGTTGCTGAAGGGATGTTCCTCATCTTTTATGATTGTGATTGGGGGGTAACGCCAGGTCCTTGTGTAACTGGCAGGATAATCCACATCTTTAAGGTTATGCATGTGGTGTTGGTCTTTCTTGTTGGTTGTTTCTTGGAGGGTCCCTTCAGGTCCTTGTGTAACTGAAGGGATGTTCCTCATCTTTAGTGATTGGGGTGTCCCACCAGGTCCTTGTGTGAACTGGTAGGATAGTCCCCATCTTTTTGGTTATATGAGTGGAGTTATTCTCTTGCGTATAATGGTTCCAGGCTGATTGTGTTAATGTTGATGCTTCTTGGGCACCAGCTGTGTGATATTTTGTTGTTTGCCTGTAATAGTTCCTGTAAAATAGGGTCTTGTGTTCGGTGTAGTTTGTCCCATACCGATTTTGCTTGTTTGTGTGTTCTTACGACTGACTCAAGGCCGCTCGCCTCTGCTTATATATATCTTTTCAGATGATCCTAGAACATCCAAGACCGGTCTGGGAAGTTCTAGTACGTTCTACTCTGATCGAGGTTTACAATAAGAGGTAATTCATTCTAGAAAATTCTTACATCAGTAATACATCAATATATACACGAAAATCTTCCTAAACTTGCAAAAAAAAAAACTGTTGATTGGGAGAGAAAATAATCAAAACACCTACATTATAATTCCAAATTATGCCTCGGCATAACAATTTGTACAGTCCCCCTTCACTACTGCGTTTACAAGGGCTCGTCATATAAACATTTCACAAATAAATACATTAAGATATTTGTTTTAACATTGCTTTAATTTGATTCCATAATATGTTTACTATTGCGAGTTTCCTTCTATCGAATGTAAATAAACACAACCTGCCACTGCACAAAATCTTGGCCAGCCCCTGTAAAGGTTCTAGTGAAGGGGACTGTACAGTATCTCAAACAACTATACCTATATGTGCATGTGGGGGTCGATGTGCTCCGAAATTTTACGTGTGACTAGTGACAGCCCCCATATTCCAAAATTTATCGTCCATGGTCTCATAATGTTTCCCACAAAGTATGCACAGAGAGTTGTTTTAGCTCCTGTACACACTGTAGATGCATATAACTATCAATTGACCTGCTTGTGTGTGTGTGTTTACCTACATGAGTGTGTTTCTGTATACCCGAGTGTGTGCATGTCTGTTCACGTGTGCGTCTGTGTGTGTGTGTGTGTGTGTGTGTGTCTTTAGTACCTATGTGTGAGCAGGTCAAAATATGAATTAGTTTAACATTTTCTTCGTGGTACGCGGAACTTGCAGTAATGGTTGGGTACG